TGGGTACCACGGACCCGGCGCCCGCGCCGCCGAGAGGGGCATCCGCGCTGCCAGCGCCCCCTGCGGCGGGCCACGCTCCTTCCCCCGCGCCTCGCGGCCGGCGAGCCAGCCCCGCGCACTCTCCTCGCCGGCGTTTGAAGCGCGAATTTCCCCGCCAGTTTCCCTTTCCGAGCTCAGCACGTTTCACAGTTAACACCTTCGCGCAGCCACTGCTGCGGGGATGTGGGCATTTCCCCTCGGCGTAGGCGAATGAGTCTGTGTTTTTCCAAGAATGTCAGACTAAACGGACAGTCTTACCATCTATGAAAGCCTACGTGTCTGTCTGGAGGCTTATCGGGTTTGTCCAAACGTGTGTGTGTGTGTGTGTGTGTGTGTGTGCATGTGTGTGTGTGCGCGCTCCTGTCTGCACCCTCCTCTCGCCTGCCCAACCCCGCCCGCGCAGGGCGAAGTAGTCCTATATAGCGATGATAAATATCCCTGTTGATCACTTGATTGATTACCTCCCTGAAAGGTCACGCGGGCTCGCAGTAATTTCCTTTTGCCTAAGGCTCCCTTTTCACTTTTACTCCAGCACGACAGCTCCGAGTACACGGGATCTTTAGTTTGTATTTTAACCCCTCAGTGCAACCCCTCCCGAAAACAATGCAGACAAGAAAAATCGAATAAAATCAACTCGAGACCTTTTAGCTCAGTCGCAGCCGCCCTCCCCATCTCGCCCCTTTCTTTCTTTTGGCCCCTGCCCCCGCCGACTCCGGCTCCCTCTCCCCAACTCCAATGTATTCTGGACACTATTTAATAGATGAGGGTCTTGCAAGTAATGCGGGCGTCCCTTGGGTCTGCATTTCATGTCTGTGGCGCTCTCTCTTTCTCTCCCGTGGACTAAAAATTCGGATTTAAACCACTAGACAAGCTATTAATTTAGCTAGACTACCCAGGGTCCTGAACCCAATTAATTTCTAATAATTATAGCCCAAGGGGGCTAGATAGATCTCCCTGCCTCTTTCTTTTATTGCCACTCCACGCCACCGAGGTCAGCGTATAATAATAAAGTGTATATTTTGAAAGCGATCTGAGAACAGTGAGTTATTGCAATGAATGAAAATTGTTTCCATTTTGGCTAATTGAGCCGGTGGCCGAAAGCTCCAGCTCTGAGACTAAATAAAGAGGACTGTTTCATTTCAACATGAAGAAACCCCTGCCTAGCTCTGGTCACCCAGCGCGAGTTTAATTTCTTAACAGCCAACCTGAAACCCAGCGTTGGGTAAACAGCACTAATAATTGCATTACAATGATTAAATTAATCTTGCTGGTAGCCAGGAGAATATAGGTTGGCGATTGAATAGCAAGATGTAAAAGTTCACTGCACAAAGACAATAGGCCAAGAAATACCTCCAGAAAGAATTCAAACTTTCTTCCAAAGACACTGTGGGGCTGGTGCAATTATAATGCAAGGAAAGGGAAATTTCCTGTTGCGTGCACTGTACTGGAAAGTCGGCTCTTTGTCATTCGTAGCATTCGTTAAAGGCACGTAGGTGGTTGGGGAAGGGGTAAACTTGTCCTCTTCTCTCTTCAATGACTCATCTTCCTTCCAACTCCCACCTCGATTTCCCTGCTCTTGCCCAACAACAACAAACCCCCCCCCAAAAAACCAGAAAGGAAAAAAAAAGATGACAGTAATAAAACAAGCAGATCCAAACAGCCCATTAGCTCATCCACTTTCTAAGGAGGCAGTGCTTCCAGGATGCCCGCTTCCGTGGAAGGAAACGCAATTAGACTGCAGGACCCATGCTACTGCCCCTCAAGGAAACGAATTTCAGGAGGAGAGGGAAAGGCGGGCAGTGGGGGGCGGGCAGCTCGGCCAAACTTGTTGGAGGCCTCTTTTTCTCTTGGGCCAGCGACAGCTTAGACGTCCGGTCGTCGGAGGGTGTCGGGAACCCCAGGGGCCGCTGAACAGAAAGTCACCTGCTTGGGTCTCACGGCTGAGACCTGGGACAGGTGGAACTGACGGGGTCCAGGCGCACGGGAGTGGGGACCCGCCGGGGTTGGCACGCTGGGGCCGCCCCGCTGCGGAGGCGAGCGCAGCCCACAGCTGCTGGGCGTTTGCTCCATCAGGTTCAACACACTTGAACTAGCAACTTAGCTCTTTTCTTAACACTCGCTTAGGGGAGAAAGCCAATGATAAAGAGAGAGAACGGGAGGGAAAAAAGGAAAAGAAACCCAGCTTTTAGGTTTGAAAATCAGAGTGATCAGACGGTGACTATTTTATTTAAACAACAACAAAAAGGAGAATGCCTTGTCTTTTCACAATGGCTTGGCCCGAGGGCACGGAGAAGTTTGTGTTTATTATTTTAGTTAGAAGAGGTTGGATTCACTCTTGTCCGGAAACTCTTGCAAAGATCAGGCAAAAGACCTGAAGTGACCGCCACGCCAGGGACTTGAGAAACCCAAGCGTGGGGGGTGCATCAGTTGCGCCCCACTCCCTCCACCCCACCCTCGCCTCCCTGCCCTCCGGAAAAGTTTAAAATACAGGGATCTTTCTACCTGGGGACGCAGATTTACTTTGCTTTAGTCTTTCACAGCCCACCCAGTCCCTGTCACAGCCCCCACCCCACGCCTAGCCCGCCACGTGGTTTATAATTCCTCAGCAGAAGCAGCTACTGCAGCTTCACATGTGCACTCTGGATGTAATCGTGGGTTTGGTTCCACGGGACCTCCGTTTCCTAGAAAATTCCCAGGAACTCCTCTTAACCTCCTTTCTGCAAGGAGACCCAGATAGAGACTCCCGGTGGGATGAGATGAAAGGGATTAAGGAGAGCCGTGGATGGGGAGGTTGGTAGCGCCTTTTTAATGGTTTATTTTATTTTATTTTTTATTTTTGAAGCTCCCTGGGTGAGAAAGTGAAATGAAATGTCCCAGCCAGATTCTCCTCCTGGCCCGGGCACGCTTGGGTTTCTGGTGGACTCCACCTCCTCTCCCAGGAGCCAAGGCCCTCCAGGGTCTGACAGCTGGGAGGGGCCTGGTCCTCCTGCCTGACCCCTCTGTCCGCTGGCCTAGGTGAGGGTCCCCAGAGAGTCCCTTCCACTGACCAGAAGCAGTTTCTATGAACTTCTTACCGATTCACTTAGGTGCTTCTCTCCCTAGAGATTTTACTTCCTTTCTGCGGATCTCATACCCACCCCCCAATTTCTCCTTTTCCCCTAAGGACACTCACTGCTCAGAGGGAAGATACTCCTCCATCTAAACGGAGAGGAGCCAGCACATGCACAGATCCCTGGGCACCCACGGGCAGAATGTTACAGTGCCTGGTGCTGCTGCACCCACCGAAGGTACCCTGTATGCCCAGGGCAACAGGGACTGCAGAAGGGCTGGCGGAAACCCCAGCTGCCTCTTTAGTGCAGAAGGAATGACAGCTCCCCTTGCCCCTCTGTGTGGACGCCAGAGACTTCTCCGGTGGAAGTTGTTTTACTCCTGCTTTGTGCCATTCCTCCCACTGCACCCTCCCTCTTCCCTTCCTCACGTTTCAAGATCACTCCTCTGTCTCCCTTGGGACCCGTACCTTGGTTCTCCAAGGACCTGTAGCTTACAGCCAAACGCCCCCGGAATTACACAGCTCTGGAGAAAGAGAAACGGTGGGCATGCTTAGCTGTGGTACATCCTTTGAATTTTGATTTTCTCGAAGAAAGATATCTGTGAGCCATTGATGGATGGCCTTTGGGGTCGAACCTGGCTGTTTGCTCATTGACAGCCCCAGCCCTGGTTTTGACAATAAACAACAACAGGTACAACTGGGCACTCTCAATGATCTTCCCTTCCCTCCCCTGACTTCGCCAAACTCACGACCAGGACCTGATTTTCTTTTCCCGTTTCTTTAACTTGAACATCAAGGATGTATTGTTGTCGTACAGAGCCTGAAAAGATTGTAATTTTCTTTTATGGTGTCTGGCAGGATTTGCCACAGATATTAATGGGGGACATAAATAGCTCGGGAAAGGTCCTGAACAAAACTGTTTCACGCAAGGAGGTTGTACCAAGAGAAAATCTATACGTAGCTGGAAATGAATCTACCTTGAACGTTTCTGCTACCCACTTCCTTGGCAAATCCTGTAATAAAAGCAAATTTCAACCATGTATGTTTTGAGGGTGGGAGATAGATTTCCCACCTCCTTCTTCTTACCACCCCGGAGGTTGTGGGTTTAAGCGAATGAGTGAAAATGGCAGGCAGGCTGAGCTGCTGCGGGCGGCGCGGGGCAGCGGCGAGGGAGGCCGGAAGGTGACAGCCGACCTCAGGGAAGGCAGGAGGTCGTGGATATCAAATGCCCGGAGCCTGCCCAGCCCTGGGATTCAAAGGCGAAAATTACTACTTGGTGGGAAGAGGCCACTAAAATGGTCTAAGGGTGACGACCAGCATGGCTATGAGACCTAAAAGCGAGAAGAAACAGTTACTTATTCTGTTTTCAACTCTGAAAGCAGAAGCCGCAAGAGCTCCAGTAGCAGGAGCGGCGGCAGCATCTGATTTGCCGAAGTTCAGGATGATTCTCACTCTCTCCCGGATCATTCTTCGAGAGCCCCGTCCTGCGAGCTCCTTAGTACGGGAAAGATTCAAAAAGTCCTCCTCCACCCCGCCTCTTGGTGTGGACGGTATAGAAAATATCCTGCCACTGATGGTGGGAAAAACAGGAATAATAATGATAGAGGCTTATTGGTCATTCCAACACGAAATCAATACTCTGCCTGCGTCTTTTCATTCCTTTCTTGGGGGGTGGAGGGGCGAGGTGTCTGCTCCCCTCCGGCTCCCCGCGCTCGCTCCCCGCCCCCCGCCGCCCTCCCCGTGGCTCCCTTTCTCCGCCTCCTCGGCGATTGCCATCTGACAAGATCTCCAAATCAAAGTGATAAATCGCTCCAAACTTTTTTTGGCGGCGCTGAGATGTTGGAGGGGCGTCTAGCGCGCATGTGCGAAGGTGTCCAAACTGACAATGCAGGAGAGATAGCGAGTGTGGATTGAGAGAAAGGGAGAGAGGGAGGGAGTGAAAGAGGGAAAGACCGAGTGTGTGTGTGTGTGTGTGTGTGTGTGTGTGTGTGTGTAAGAGTGAGAGAGTGTGTGTGTGTGAGAGAGAAAGAGAGAGAGAGAGAGAAGAGGGAGGGAGAGGGAGAGCAAAAGAAGGAAAAGATCCAAGAAAAAAAAACCCCAACCACACACCAGCGGCTGCAGGACTGGGCACAGCATGAGATCCAAAGGCAGGGCAAGGAAACTGGCCACAAGTAGGTGCAATATCCCTTTTCTATTGGCTTTTCCCCTCCTCTGCCATCTTGCATATCTGTCTCCGGCGCTCCGGGAGTGAGCGCGGGGCTGCGGCTCGCTCCGGGGCCCCGGGTGGCGGGCGGGCGCAGCGCAGCCTCAGCAACCTGCCGGTCCAGCTCCGCGCCCCGCCGCCCGCGCTCTCGCTCCTGGTTGGG